AGCTGAAGGAACACAGCAGGCCAGGCAGCATTAGAGGAGCAGGAAAGTTGACGGTTCGGTTCGGGACGCTTCTTTCGTAAAAGGGTCTTCTTTTCTGAAGAAGGGTGTCGACACAAAATGTCAACTTTCCTGCTCCTCTGATGCTGCCTGGCCTGCTGTGTTTCTCCAGCTCCACACTGTGTTATTTATGAATACAATTTTTTTTTTTACTGGGACTGAGTAGTTGAAGTAATTTATTTTGTGAATACTTTTGTATTGAAGTGCTTTGTTTTAAAAATAATGAATTCACTAGTAGACTTGAAGAACATTATTATATTTCATCCCTGCAGTCTGACCATGGTGAATACTAGATGAGTTGGCATAAAGGATGGAAGGGCAAAAAGTGGTGGCTGAGAGGAATGCACTAGCATGAGATGCCATAAGGGCTATAAGAGACCATGGATTATGGGCAGAAGAGGATAGGTTGGCATGGAGATATGAGGGGTCATGGTTCAGCAGAGGGACATATGTGGTCATGAAGGAAAAAATGGGCAGTGAAAGTGCGTGGCATCTGTTGACGTTGATGGGGAGTTGGAGGAGGTGTGCAAGTGAGTGCTGGAAGGCAATTTTGTTTGTTGCAATGAAGTTCAGGTCATCAATGTAGGCATTTTCCTCCGCCCATAGGGTCATAGGGTCATAGGGTCATAGCGTACAGAAACAGACCCTTTGGTCCAATCAGTCCATGCTGAATGTAATTCCAAACTAAACTAATCCCACCTGCCTGTTCCTGGCCCATATCCCTCCAAACGTTTCCTATTCATGTACTTATCCAAATGTCTTTTAAACGTTATAATTATATCCACATCCACCTTTTCCTCAGGAAGTTCATTCCACACATGGCCCACCCTCTATGTAAAAAAAATTTATCCCTCATGTCTTTTCTAAGTCTCTCCTCTCACCTTAGAAATGTGTCCCCTAGTTTTGAAATCCCCCATCCTGGGGAAAAGACAACTATCATTAACCCTATCTATACCCATCATTATTTAAACGTGTGTTTGTGTGTGTGTGAGAGCTATATGCTTATTTCTCAAATGGCAGTTCACTCTCAACCTTTGTCGATTTTCCAAATGTCCTCTTTTTTTTATACCCTTGAAGACGCGTCCATTTCTTACACTAGGATAGGTCCCCAGTTGTCAACACCATCTAAGTATTTGGTTTAAATTAATTGGCTGATTCAAGCTAGTTGCCAAAACATCAAAACAAGCCTAAAGTTTTCAATCGCACAGCCAATTGATACATGTTTCAATTTTTAGAACTGTCTGTAATCTACAGCTGCTTACAGACCTATTTTCTATATCAATCTCTAAGTTCTTAAAGGGACCACAAACTGTTCTCCTTTTTATCATTTTTTAACAAACAAATTCTAGCTTCCTGCCTTCCACTTCATAATTAGTCTACACAACTTCATAAAATAGCTAATACAGAAACATGGCTGAGGGATGGACAGGTCTAGCAGCTCAGTATTCTGAGATTTAGATGCTTTAGGAAGGATAGAAAGGGAGACAACAGGGGAGAGGCAGTGGCATTTTTAATTAAGGAAAACATTACTGCTGTAACTAGAGAAGATATTACTGAGGAATCGTCCAACTAAGGTACATGGGTTGAACTCAGAAATAAGAAAATGATCACCTTTGATGGGATTGTACTATAGGTCTCCAATAGTCAGAAGGAAATTGAGGACCAAATATGTAGAGATATCTCAGATAGGGTTGTAATAGTAGGGGATTTTAACTTTCCAAACATTCTCTGGGACTGCCGTAGTGTTAAAGGCTTGGATGGTGAAGCATTTGTTAAATGTGTTCAAGAAAATTTTCTTTATAATATGTAGATGCATCTACTGGAGAAAGAGCAAAACTTGATCTTCTCTTAGGAAATAAGGCAGGGCAAGTGACTGAAGTGTTAGTGAGGGAGCACTTTGGGACCAATAATCATAATCCTATTGGTTTTAAAATAGTTACGGAAAAGGATAGACCTTGTAAAACAGTTAAAGTTCTAAAACTGGGGTAAGGCAAATTGTGATAGTATAATACAAGAACTTTCAAAAGTCGATTGGAATAGACTGTTTGCAGATAAAGGGATGCCTGGCAGGTGGAAGGCTTTCAGAAGTGAGATAACAAGAGTTCAGAGGCATTATGTTCCTGTTCCTGTTAGAGTGAAGGATAAGGCTGGTAAAAGTAGGGAACAATTGGTAAATAAAGATATTGAAGCTCTGGTCAAGAATAAGAAGGAGTTATTTATTAGATATAGACAACTGGGATCAAGTGAAAGAGTATAAGGAGTGTAGAGGCATTCTTGAGAGAAATCAGAAGAGCAAAAAGAGGATATGAGATAGCCTTGGCAGATAAGGTTAAGGATAATCCAAGCAGATTCTCCAAGTACATTAACAGCAAAATAGCAACTAGGGAGAGAATAGGGCCCTTTAACATTCAATGAGGTTGTCTATGTGTAGAACCACAGGGGATGGGAGAGATACTAACCAAATATTTTGCATCAGTTTTTACTGTGGAGAAATAACTGGACGCTGGGGAACTTGGGGGAAATAAATACTAATGTTTTAAAAACGGTGCGCATAGAAAAGGAAGTGCCGGAGGTCTTAAAAAACATGGAGGTCAATAAACCTCCAGGACCTGATCAAGTGTATCCCAGGGTGTTGTAGGAAGTTAGGAAAGAAATTGCAGGGCACCTAGCAGAGATATTAGTATCATCTACAGCCAGGGGAGAGGTGCCAAAGGACTGGAGGGCGGCTAATGTTGTGCCTTCTTTTAAGAAAGGCTGTAAGGAGAAGCCTGGGAGCCTGTAGAACTGAGAGTCTGGTATCAGTGATAGGTAAGTTGTTGGAGGGTATTCTGAGAGATAGGATTTACATGCAGTTAGAGAGGCAAGGACTGATTAGAGATAATCTGTATGGCTATGTGGGTGGGAAATCATGTGTTACAAACTTGGTTGAGTTTTTGAGGACATAACCAATACGTTTGAGGGCAAATCGGTAGACTTTGTCTACATGGACTTTAGTAAAGCCTTTGACTAGGTTTGGCATGGTGGCCTAATTAATAAAGTTGGGTCACATGGAATTCAGGGAGAGCTTGTCAGTTGGATATAGAATTGGCTTAATGGTAGGTCAAGGTCAAAAATCACACGACACCAGGTTATCATCCAACAGGTTTATTTGAAAACACAAGCTTTCAGAGTGTAGCCCCTTTTTCAGGTGAAGTGAGAAAGAAGCACACAGAACACAGAATTTATAAGTAAGTGATCAAAGGGTCACGCAACGGATGTACTAAACAAACCTAAGATGCTGTTCAATCTTTAATCAGTTAGAAGGTTTTAATTGATTAACATGTATATGTAAATTCCTGAATTTCTTTCAAGTCACTGCCCTGAGAGAACTAAAGGCTTTATCATTGTAAAGAAGAGGTGACATTTTAGGTGTTAGGTGTGAGGCCTTGTTTAGAATCCTTGTATTTTGGTTTGGAATCAGAATGATTTTATTTCTAAAGTAGGAATTTATAGAATGCCACATTGACTGACTGTAAATTGTGTGTTTTTTGAACAAAATAGTAGGTGACAGAGTATGGTGGTGGAGCGTTGTTTCTCAGACTAGAGGCAGGCATATATAATATTATTGGGTGGCATGGTGGCTCAGTGGTTAGCACTGCTGCCTCACAGCGCCAGGGAACCAGGTTTGATTCCACCCTTGTGCAACTGTCTGTGTGGAGTTTGCACATTCTGCCCGTGTCTGCATGGGTTTCCTCCGGGTGCTGTGGTTTCCTCCCACAGTCCAAAGATGAACAGGCTGGGTGGATTGGCAATGCTAAATTGCCCATAGTGTTCAAGGATGTGTAGATTAGGTGGGTTATGGGGCATGGGTCTGGGTGGGATGCTGTGAGGGTCGGTGTGGACGTGTTAGGCACACACTGTAGGGATTCTATGATCTATGATATAAACGATTTTGATGAGAATTTAGGAGGCATGGTTAATAAGTTTGTGGATGACACCAAAATTAGTGGCATAATTGACAGTGAAGAAGGTTATCTAAGATTACAAAGAGATCTTGGTCACCTGGGTCAATTGGCTAAGGAGTGGCAGATTTGGATAAATATGAAGGATTGCATTTTTGTAAAACAGACGAGGGCAGGTATTACACAGGTAATGGCAGAGCCCTGGGTAGTGTTGTCAAACAGAGAGACCTAGGGGTTCGGGTACCTTGTTCATTGAAATTGCGTCACAGGTAGACAGGGCGGTCAAGGCGTTTGGCATGCAAGCCTTCATTACTTAGACTGTTGAGTATAGGAGTTGGGGCATCATGTTAAGGTTGTACTGGACATTGGAGAGGCCTCTTCTGGAATACTGTATACGGTTGTGGTCGCCCTGTTATAGGAAGGATATTATTAAATTGGAGAAGGGTCAGAAAACATTTACCAGGATGTTGTCAGGAATGGAGGATTTGAGTTATAGGAAGAGGCTGGATAGGCTGGGAATTTTTTCACTGGAGCATAAGAGGTTGAGGGGTAAGCTTATAGAGATATAAAATATCATGAGGGGCATAGATAAGGTGAATATCAAAGGTCTTTTTCCTAGGTGGAGGGAGTTCAAAATTAGGAACTTCTAAGGTGAGAGGAGAAAGGTTTAAAAGGGACATGAGGGACAACGTTTTCACACAAAAGGTAGTTCGTATGTGAAATGAACTGCCAGGGGAAGTGCAGTTACAGCATTTAAAAGACATTTGGACACGTACATGAATAAACAGAATCATAGAATCCCTACAGTATGGAAGCAGGCCATTTGAGGCCCATTGAGTCCACACCGACTCTCCAAAGAGCATCCTACCAAGGTTAACCCTGTCCTTGTAACCCTGCAGTCCCCAGGGCTAATCCACCTTGCCTGCACATCCCTGGATATTATGGGTAATTTAGCATCACCAATCCACCTAACCTGCACATCTTTGGACTGTGGGAGGAAAACCACACAGACATGGGGAGAATGTGCAAATTCCACTCAGACCGTCACCAGAATCGAACCTGGGTCCCTGGCGCTGTGAAGCAGCAGTGCTAGCCACTGAGCCACTGTGCTGCCAATAGGAAAGGTTTAGAGGGATATGGGCTGAATGCAGGCAAATGGGACTAGTTTAGTTTGGAGAGCTTGGTCAGTATGGAGTGGTCAGTCTGGTGACTGTCTTTTGAGTGAAGGTGCCCAGTCTCATTCTGCAGAAAAAGGATCAAAGTATGATAGTGACATATTGTGAATGTATCTATCATGGTTGAATGACTTGAATGCAGAGTGTTTGATGGGGTGAATGTGAAGCAAAGTTTGTAATTGTGTTACAGATTGGGAGTTTGAAGAGAAGGAGGTACAGTGGTGTGTTGCATTGATTGTCAGAGGATGAGGAATACTGGACACTGGGGAGTTTACGGGGCTGCCGCATTGGTGACGTGCAGAGAGTAGGAGCAGTATTCTAAACTTGGCAGCTTTGCTGAGGTAATTGACTTTCTTTCTATATTGCAGCTAGTTTCTGGATTTAGTCAATAAAAGTGGAGCTGGAAAAGCAAGCAGGTCAGAGAAGCAGGGAAGTCAACGTGTCAGCATGAAACCCTTCGTCAGGACTGGGGATAAGGAGGGGAGCCCAGAAGTAAATAGGAGGAGTATGGGGCAGGGAGGAGGGTAGGTGAGATGGAGATAGGTGGGTGCAGGTTATTGTGGTTGGACAGTGGGAAGGGCGGAGTGGCTCGGTGAGTAGGAAGATAGACAGGTTAGGTCAGGTAGGAAGGGGAGGGCTGGACACGAGATAAGGCTGGGGGTGGAGGGACTTTGAAGTCAATGTAAGCTCCCAAGGTGAGATATGAGGTGTTGTTCCTCCAGTTTAAGGATGGCCTCACTCTGACAGTGGAGGAGGCCAAAGATGGAAACCCTACCTGCATTACCAGCTTCAAAATCTCTCCACCCCCCACCTGTCCATCTTCCCATTCACTTGTCCGCTTCACCGTTCCCACTGTCCAGCCACAATAACCCCCGACCTGCATCCACCTATCTCCATCTCACCTACCTTACCCCCAGCCCCAACCACCCTCACTCTATTTATTTCTGGGTTCCCCTCCCGTCCCCTGTCCTGATGAAGGATTTCAACCCGAAACGTTGACTTCCCTGCTCCTTGGAAGCTATCTGACCTGATGTTTCTTTTCTTTGACCTGCTTTTCCAGCTCCACATTTATTGACTCTAGCTTCCAGCATCTGCAGTCCTTTCTGTCTCCAAGTTTCTGGATTTAATCTTCTTCATGATTTATTCCCATTGGTGTGGTTGTTTCACAGACAGATTTTTTTCCCCCATTGGATCAGGATCTCACTCTTTTATTTACTGCCTGGGGCACGGCCTGAAAACCTTAGTGGGTGTGCTTTGCTGCAACACCATATCTCTTTAGAACTGTTTCTTCACTTCTGCATCCACAGTGCATCTGTGCTTTAGGAAAGGTTGCCCTTGAGAGTCAAGAGAGTTTTTACAGAATGGAAAGAGGTCCTTCAGCCCATTGTTTTCATGCCAGCCATCAAGCACCTATATACTGTAATCCCATTTTCTAGCACTTGGCTTGCAATCTAATATATCTTGGCGTTTCAAGTACTCATCTACTTTTTAAATGCCTGCGGGATCCCCTGCCTCGACCACCCTTTTAGACAGTGAGCTCCAGGTACCCACCACCTTCTGGGTGAAAACCATTTTCCTCAAATCCCCACTAAACCTCCTGCTCCTTACCTTAAGTGTGTGCTCCCTGGTTATTGTTCTCTTTATTAGGGGAACATTTTCTCTTCATCTAATCTATTTATGCCCCTCCTTATAAAATTGTACATTTCAATCAGATCTGCCCTCAGCCTTCTCTGCTCGAAGGAAAACAACTCCAAACCCTGTTTTGATAGCTGGAGCATTCCTGCCCAGGCAACATCCTCGTGAATCTCCTCTTCACCTTCTCCAGGGCAACCACATCTTTCCTATAGTTTGGTGACCAGAACTCTTGCTGTGGCCTAATCAAAGTTATATACAGCTCTATATCTTTTTAAAAATCTTTCTTAATCCGTTCATGGGATGTGGGCATCACTGGCTAGACCAACACTTATTGTTCATCCCTAATTGCCAGTGAGCAATTAAGAATCAGCCCACATTGCTGTGGGTCTGGAGCCACATGTAGGCCAGATTGGTTAAGGATGGCAGATTTCCTTCCCTAAAGGGCATTAGTGAACCAGATGTTTTTTTTTTCCCTGATAACTGCAGTGTTTTCACGGTCATCATTAGGTTGTTACTTCCAGATTTTTTGTGGAATTCGAATTCTACCATCTGCCAAGACAGGATTTGAACCTTAGTCCTCAGAATATTACCTGGGTTTCTGGATTAATAGTCTATTATAATACAATGGCCTACTGTCTCCTTGTTTTTGTATTTAATATCTCAACTAACAAAGATAATTATCCCATATGTGTTCTTAACCACCTTGTCTACCTGTCCTGCTGTTTTCAAGGATATATGGACATGCACACCAAAGTTTCTCTATTCCCGTATACTTCCTAGGTCCTACCATTCTTTGCATACTCTCCTGTATCACACATGCCCAATATCTAGCTTGATTGCTCTTCCTCAAACATTTGATACCTCATGATGAAGTCTTTGGGCTAATTTGATGTGCTGCCAGGGACCATATTAAACAGATATGTACAATGAGCAGTCTGTCCCCAGCATGTTCAGTTTTGGGCGCTACTGAATTTCGAGACAATGATGTTTTCAATAATGAGTTATTGAACATATTTGCCCACAATCTGACCTAGCTCAAGCCTTATTCTTCAACATGTATTTAATGATTTTACTCTAATCAGCTTGCAAGTGGAGCCCTGCAATGCAGTATCAGGCAACTAAGATTAAGCCCAGCTTTTCTCTATTATTGGATATGAGGGACTGAGGACTATGCAGTTTATGTTACCAAATTGAAATCCGAACTGAGGCTCATTGTCCCTAACTTTAACTTTGACAGTCCTCTCCCAAACACCACCAAGAAACAAAAGCAGCTCCCATTAGGCTCAACCCCTACAAAGCACTGACATGGCCAGGAAGGCCTGATCCTTTGGTTGTTATTAGAGTTAGATTGATGTTACTGCTGTATTGGTTCTAGGCTTACTGAACAAATGAAATAATTGTATATTTGGAAAAAAGATTTTTAACACAATACTGCATATTTCTCAGTGATAATTTGTAGAAGTGGAGAATGTTTTAGTATCCAGTTCTGAATCTCTTTACAGCCAACCCTCTGTATTTACAGGTTATGGAAGAAATGAAAATCAGAGAAAGCCAGCAAAACATACATGGGGACCTTAACTATGTCATTTAGGCATGTCCCAGTTAAGACACATTTATATTATAGGCTTTAGCCTCTTTCCTGGATTTGCTGCAGGTATCAGTTACAGATTTCTAAAGGTAACCATCAACAAACCGGGCACTCTTGTACAAGCAGTTTTGCAGACTTGTTCCAGTGGCTGGCTCTTTGAACTTTTTTATTTGGCAGCTTATCCTCTGTTCACATGAGCTTCAGCATTCTGCTTGCCTATCCTAAGCCTCCTAAGTTATTCTTCCCCATGTCCTCACACTAGCAATGCCCCTGTCTGGGACCCAGCTGATTTCTCAACTGCTACAGCAGAATGTCCATTTAGCAGCTCACGAACTGCCACATGGATCAGGCTGGAACACAAAAATGCCTTATTTTGACAACAACAGGGCCTGCCATGTGCCCACAGTAGTTAAATTGGGCGTCTTATATGTCCTATATTTTGGAGAGCGATTTCACAGAATGATCTGCAAGTGACTCAAAAAAAATACATTGAAACTCTATGTAATTTTTAACATATTTCTGACTCTTAGAATAAATGGATCAGCCGCAGTCCAATGTTACAGAGGCGAGTATATCATGTAATGGCAGCTGTCAAGAGAAAACTTTATGTTCTTGGAGGAAATGACTTGGACTACAACAATGATCGGATTTTAGTTCGTCAAATTGACTCTTACAACATCGACACCGACCAGTGGGTACGCTGCCATTTCAACTTACTCACAGGTAGATGTTTTTAGGTTTCCTTTTTGAGAATTCTCTTAACAGGGTAGTTTGATCAAGTTTCTTGCCAAGTATGCTGAAAAAGTTAAATATAACTCTTCAATTACAAACTTTCATTATCACCCCTTTAATGTTTTTATGCTGATTTCTTTGCACCAACATTTTGATACATTGACAGCACTGCCACTATCAAGAGTTACAATCAATATGTATCATGGGTAAAACCATTGTGTTTGCCAGTGGTGAACTGACACCATAATTTGCTGAAAAAACATTTCCTATATGCCACAGCATGAATAGCAGCAAATTGGGAGCAGCCTTGTGAAAATTAAAATAGGTTCATCAGCCTTTAGTACTTGTACATTGGAGAACAAAGGAGTGTCTGATATTAAATAATAATAATGAATGGAACAAAAAGAATTCCCTCGACTTGTACTTCTATTCAAAAACCTTTATGTTATTCCTCCAGCTGTAAACAACATTACTGCACTGCCTGATATACTCGATTGTAAAACATTCCACTGCTACGGTCAACTGTAGAATGCAGGCAGATTAAGAAATAGGCCCAATTTAATCAGTTTTAATGTCCAAGTGTACAAAAGCATTTTACAGTAGGTTATGGATTGACTAAACTTACTTCTGTAAACTCAATGGATATCCTGTTCAAGCTGCCTGTAGACTTTTCCACCTACTCTACAGCTCATTTATGATCCCATGGTACAGAAGATTGCAGCAATGATTTGGCCCGACAAATTCACTGACTGGATCAAGATTTAGGTAGAGAACAAGGTCAGTTGTGCAATCCAACAAGTAGTGAAAGAATGGTCACATCAGCATTTTAAAAACTTACCCTAACTCTACAGATGTAGGAAAAGTAATAGTGTCCACTTGGGCAGGGAAAGTAGAAAAAAAATTCCTTTAAATGGAGAGAGAAGGTAGATCTGTAAAGATTCATTCACAAAATGAGGGTATCGCTGGCTAGGCCAACGCTTATTGGACATCCCTAATTGTCCTCATAGGTGGAGGTGAGCTACCCTGTTGGATCATTGCAGTCCTCGTTGTATAGATATACTCACGGTGGTGCTAGGAAGGAAGTTATGGGATATGGTGCTGGAAAAAAGAAAAATTTCAAATATTGCTGATTTTCTAATTAAAAGCAGAGATAGCTTTTGTTTTGTAACAGTGATGGAACTTTCAAATAGTAAATGGCTTCCAGGAGTGATGGTATTAAATTTAGTGGAATAGATGAAACACTTCTTGTGGCAGAGTTGTACTATCCCTACCCTTGAGCCAGGAGGCCTGGGTTCAAGCCTCACCTGTTGCAGATGTGCACCATAATATGACTGAACAGGTTAATTAAAAATAGCTGGATGACAATCATCTTGGCGTGTGGGAGAAACTTTGGTTCTCATGTGAATCATTAATTCAAAGTAGGGAAACATATGAAATAAGTTTGAAAAGCCTTACAGTGCTTATTCACAGGTTAGGATCACAGGTGTGGTGGTCTGCAAATTGTTCTTCGTTGCCACCTACTAGACTCATTAAAGAGGATGGGTTAATCACATCTGTGCTTTGGTGGAGCCACGTTAGTGTCCCTGCCTCTGGACCTGAAGACCTAGATTTAAGTCCTACCTGCTCCAGAGGTATGTCATAACATCTCTGAACAGGCTGATTGAGAAAAATATCAATAACAATTTAGAAGAGTGAGATTCTGGTTTTCCAAGCAGCAGAAGTAGTAGTGATAGGGTTTATCTAAACAAGTGAAAAAACAAAATGACTGGTTGCTGCACTAAATTCCTGATGATATAATGGAGGATATTTATACACAGATCAGTATTTCCTGTACAACAATGTAGCAGATATTTGTTTTAAACAATGCTAACCTTCAAGTGTTGGAAATCAGTGGTTAAAAATAAGAAAGGAAAATCTTTGCATTTATATAGAAATTTTCATGATACCCAAACCCTGTTAAACACAAGCATTCTTGAAATCTAGTCACTATTGTAATGTACTAGACTGGGAAACAGTGATAGTTATAAATCTCCAAAGCTACAGGAAACTTCTGTTCTATGTTCTATTCATTTAACAAATCTATTACTTTTGTACTTACTGTGTAACATATAAACATATGTGGTGATGAAGTAAGGTTTATGAAAGTGCTAAGAACTAACAAGATCATGAGGAACAGAAATTTAAGTTGACCATTTAGCATATCAAGTCTATTCTGCTGTTCACCAAGATCTTGGTTGATCTTTTATCTCAGTTCTACCTTCATGCTCTATTCCCATATCCCTAAATTCCCTTAGCAGCCAAAAATCTATTCATCTGTCTTCTAAATGGACCCTTGAATGCTTAAACAGATGTTGATATGAACGCTATTGAACAATAGTTGACCTAAACTTCATTTTAAACAGTACCTTGCTCATTGGTCAGGAAAATATCTTTTAATGAAACTTAAATATCTACGTATTTAAACAAAGTTATAAATTGTCAGTTGAGTAAGCCTTGCATTTTCTCACAAAAGGCCAAAATGAATCTGGTGTAGCTGTGCACAATGGAAGAATTTATCTCGTCGGTGGGTATTCCATCTGGACCAATGAGCCATTAGCATGTATCCAGGTGAGTGACTTGGTTTATCTGTTTCTTCAGATTTAGTTTAAAAGAGTAACAATTAAAATATGAGGAAGGGAAAATTATTCATTTTTGTCTATTCTTCAAGATATTACAGAATGCATTAAGTACACGTATCAATTAAGTAAAGTTTATTATTCTAAATAAGAAGAAATTCAACTATAATTAAGTAAGTCTGTGGGTTGCTGAATTATAGAAGCTGCAACGTACAAACTTGACTCAATGTTATGGGGATATATTTTAAGTTCAGACTTTAGAAGATTCATAATAAATTGCACTTAATCAATGATGAGTCTAGATTAAATAAATAATAAGTGAAGATGGTTAATTTTAAGAAGAACATTATTTCAAAAGACTTGTGATTAAATATATATTTATAAATATTTGGAACATAAATGTAATTTTCTATTTTTTTTTGTTTTAGGTTCTGGATGTCAGTACAGAAGGCAAGGAAGAAGTGTTTTATGGTCCAACGCTACCATTTGCTTCCAATGGAATAGCAGGATGTTTTCTCCCAGCCCCTTATTTTACTTGCCCTAATCTTCAGACACTGCAAGTGCCTCACCACAGGATAGGTGCTGTATGAGAGCATAGAACTTATAGGATCTATGTATAATGTGAATGGATGTGATTATAGGTGACAACTACAGTGGTTTTGATATTTTCACCATTTTCTGTGTGTAGTCCAAAGCCTACATCCAATTGCATATATTCCAGTCACGATTACAAACAGGTAGCTTGCCTTTTCATTAATCTATTATAAATACCTTGAATAGCTATTCTCAACGAGAATTGATATATAACTAGTACTATGACAACTCCTGCCTCTTCAGAAAACAAGTTGTAAAATTAGGACTGATAATTTCTGTTACAGATTGTATGGATCAGAAGTGGGTTGGTAGCATGCACATTTTGTGAATCATGTCAGGTGCAATATTTGTGAGAGTATTGGTGTGTGCACAAAGTACACCCATCAGAGATGTGCAGGGCAGGCAGCATTCAACAGTGCTTTAACATCAAACATATAATTTTGGAGCTCGGCATTCCAGCTAATGCCTGTCTAACTCTCTCAAATTGAGCTTTTATTCAGCAGCAGGTAGGAACCCCATCACCCAGCACATACAGTAAAGGTATCATTGACTGTTTACAGGCTAGTTGTTAGTTGAGTTATTCTGGGTGTTTCTCTGAATTCCATGAATGCTTGGTACTTTCTTTAGTTGTTTAAAGTTGCCAAGGTTAATAAGGAGTAATGTTGCTAACTTCACAGCTTTTATACAAACCAGATGCCACTAGAGATGGATGCACTAATAGACATTCTCTTTGGAATACAACATGACTGCAAGAATGAAAACAGAGGTCAAATACAGAGCGTGAGAAGCTGCAAGAAGCAAGCCTCTCTGCTCCTATGATGCTGCTTGGCCTGCTGTGTTCATCCAGCCCTGCACCTTGTTGTCTCGGATTCGCCAGCATCTGCAGTTCCTACTATCTCCAAGTAGATGATGTAGATAGGGCCTCAGCAGGAGGCCTTGTCTGCCCAGGGTACTCAGTAAGCAATTCTCCTTCTTTTAACTTTACTGGGGAGGAAGTTGCATGATGATTGTCTTTTATAATGGCAGTCTTCATTGAAATCTGCTACAATCCGAAACCTCAGAGTAGGGAAAGGATTGCATTGTCAGTGGCAATTGCTGGAGCTGGAGATATTTGCAGCATCTTGCTGACCACTATTGAGTAAGAGAGGCCACAGATACTCTCTCTTGTTACACTCTCATCAGAGAGAAGCAGTTGAAGTGCTTTGTTAGGATTACAGGCTTTTCAATGGTGCATGGCTCTTTGAGCACCATGTCTCACCATTGGTACCGAAAGGGATTCTACCCCCTCAACATCTTGTAACTGTAGGCAGTGAATCAAGCAGGTAAATGTGATGCTGTCCTGGCAGTAATCGTGATGCCTTCATTCTGTCACAATTGCTTGTCCACTGCACTTCAGCTGACCCTGTAAAAACAGAGTGATTACTGACTTATGACATATTTTAAAACTGTCACAAACCAACCAATTAACATAGACTAAACAATATATAACAGGCAACTAACAAAAGTTTTTTTTAAACAAGTATTTCTCTATTAACTAACAATTAAAATACTTTGACACGTTTTAACTTTATATCATATTCAAAGCATGTATGTATTGTTGAAAATGAAGTTCCAAACCCTTCCCAGTTTTACAGCAGACTGCCATGCTAGGATTTGTTTTCCATAGTCCTTTGAAAGTGACTCGATGCAGTCTCCTGAGTATACCTGAAACAAATTCAAGTAGCAAGACCTATCCTTGGTCCTTAAATCTCTTGAAGTTCTCTCTCTTCAACTGGAGAACCACCTGCCACAAATAACCTGCTTGTTGCTAACTGAAACTGGAACAATTTGTCCTCCTGCTTTTCCATGTAGTTAATGGTTGTGTCTCTGCCTCTGTCCTTGCCTGGGTTCACACATGAGCCGTCAGTCCTTTCTCAAGTTGCCTCTTGATTTTCAGTAGCTTTTGGCCTGAGCATTATTCCTCATGTCAACAAGATCACATGGGCCTGATTCCAGGCAGAGGTCTATTATAAGCTCACCACCTTATGTCATTCCATTTCACTTAAATTTGAAAAAAGACATCTTAAGACATAACCATGTTATAAAATCTCACATTTGTTATGCTATTAGTGATGACATGTCTGATGCTTCTGGTGTATAACCCCCATGCGCACTGTACAGCACACATACAATGAAATCTGTGCTGCCAGACAAATTATGATACAGCTTGGGGTAGGTAGTGGCATTGAGATAATGTTAATGGACTGGCAATCGAGAACCCCTGACTAATATTCCAGGGACATGAGTTTAATTGGTACCATGGCAGATAGTAAAGTTCAAATTCAGTAAAAATCTGCAATTAAAAGAATTTATGGAGATTATGTAACCACTATCGATTGCAATAAAAACGCAAATGGCTCACTAATGTAACTTAGACGAAGAAATCTGCCATCCTTATCTGGTCTGGCCTATATGTGATTCAGACAGACAGGAATGTAGTTCACTCTTAATTGCCGTTTGGGAAATTATGAATGGGCAATAAATGCTGAACTGGCCACCAATTCCCATGTCTCATGAATGAATATTAAAAAGGATCCTTGGCATGCTGAAACAACACGTCTGCTGCCTGGACTGCATTGGATAAGCCCTGCAGTTCACAGCAGAGTGAGCTGTTGTTATGCATCATACTTGGTACAACTATAAAATCACAAGAGAAAAGACAGGTACAGTAAGTAACAGAAACATGAGGAGGACAGAAGGCAACCTGGAAAATCCATTTCAGGGCAAGCTGTCCACAAAGAAGTCATCTGTGTACGGTGCCAAAGCTGGAACTCCCATTCACTAACAATCCTTGTAGCTTATCTTTCCTGCAATTGATAGCATCCTGTTTGACCCACAATGCAAAAGCAAAAGCCAAAATGAGATAAATTTCAAATTTAATCGATAAAATCATTCCATATTACACACAAAGTCAAATAAACAACTTTCTCTTAATGCTTGCCATCTGTGTGCCTTCATATGATCTGGTGCTCTGACACAGTGCTATTCTAGTCATTGCAGCATGACTGGTGGAAGGCTGCTGACTTTCGATGGAAACTGCACATAGCTTTGAACAAAGACCTTGAGCAATTTTAACACTAGAAAATATCACTGCCCATGTACTTACTGGCTATTTGTTATTCTGTTTGATCTGATAGTTTTCCAGTTACTCTGGACCAGGTTATTCGCGCAAATCTTGGAATCAAATATGCCACTAATCCCTCCACATTTTGACCCCAAAATTTTTCTTAACCCAATCTGGTTTAGAATAGATTAAAAAGTGACCCAGAGTTCCATTCCCATTGCTATTCTTCACATTCCCTAAAGATGTCACTCTTGCATTCTTTCATGCTATTCGGAAGATTAGTTGTGAGCTCCCAATATCCAAAAATTGCCCATTGCAATCTGGCTGAGCATCAGTTATGAAAACCTGATTTTCCTTTGCTGTATTTGTGTTCTTAAATACTTCTGTACTTTTCCTTTTTCACTTTTCAAGTTCTCCTACGAGCTGGAAGTATTTTAGCATCCAGTTTCGCCGTGACTGAAACCAAATTCCTATCTTAGTTGTAACATCACGGAGGTGAGTTTTCATAGAAATTTCCCTGACATCCACCTGAGACAATGGAAGCCCCAGGAAAAAAATTACAACTATTACAGTGTATAAACATCAGAACTCATTTGGAAATTCATCCCTGTAAATTTACATTCTAAGAATTGCTGCTAATTTTTGCACTGCATTTTCACTAATTCACAAATTCAAATGTAATCACAGCACCGAACAATTCATTCTAATCAATACTATTTTCCTTTGCTTTTCCTTCACCTTTCTTCTCTGGAACTTCTTGCAGTCTGAGCATGTCTCTCTCCATATCCTCGAGTTTAATAGCCCGGATTTTCTAATGACCTAATTATCCTTTCTGAAGCATCGATGAGAGTTGCGCACTGAGATATTGAAGATTCTGCTGGGCAATTTCCTCTAATCCTCGAACTCTACAAAAGTATCATTTAATCGGTGAATTTGGAGGGTACTGCTGGAAATAAGGAAATAATTACATAGGAAATTTAATTTATTAAATAGTTAGTCTAACACTTCAATAACTATTAAACCAATGCCCAAATTATCTCACACACTCTCTCAACTACACCTCCCCAGATCCCTTACACCCTGCAGGCACTAATACAACAAGCCCTCCACCTTTGCCACCAGACCAGACACCATAACCTCTCTGAGCAGGATCTGTCAACCCTCTTCCTGGACCTGATATTATCTTTCCCCACTGCCAGACCCTCGTCTTGCTGCCAGACCCAAACTCCTTTCCTTGCTCCTGACCACACATCCCTTCCCCTGCTCTGGATCTGATGTTCCCTTTCTATTCTCTGAATCCAAACCCCCAATTCCCTTGCTCTGGACTTGAAACCCACCTCTGATCTCTGTGACCCGAGCACCCTTCCCTGCTGCAGTCCAGACATCCCCACAACTCCCAACCCCACTGCACTGGACCCAAACTACCCCGCTCTGGATCTGACCACTGCATTCCTCCTCCTTCCCTGCTCCGGGCCCAACACCCCTGCCCTTAGACAGCACCTTACTTTTCTACCACTTAGCAGGACAAGGGCAGGAGCTACATTGGAACACCACTACCCACATGATCCCCACCAAGTCACACACCATTCTGACTTGGAACTATATTGCTGTTCGTACAGAAGTCACTAAAGTCAAAATCCAGGAAAACCCTCTCTAACAGCACTGTTGGCGTACTTACACCACATGGACTGCAGTAGTTGAAGAAGGCAGCTCATGATCACCATCTCGTGGGGAATTAAAGATGGGCAATAAATGATTATAAAGCTTTCTCTGACCAGAACTTGATTAAATGCTTTGGAATTGTGAAACTCTTCCTGTTTACAGCTTTTGTCAAAGCAAACATTAATGTGTCTGATCTGCTGTTTCCCTAACTGATCAAGTGCATTGTCATATTCTTCTGTACCTAAATCCTCATACAGCCTCCCATGTTCTATCAGATTTTCCATTCA